CCTTAGAGCAGACAACAAAGCAGAATTCTAGATATCTTTCAGGTTGGCCAAAGACTAAGGAGATATAGGCTTTGCCCTCCTTTTAATGCTTTTAAAAACTTGCTATCATTGCAAGTTTATTCTGTAAGTAATTTTAATAGTTAATTCTCTTTCTGACCCCCAAATTGGAATCTGGTGAAGCTTAGTCCAAAATTAATGTTCCTCCCTTTTTAGTATTTGTTAGGTGGTAACATGTTTACAGATTTACAAAATAACTGCTGAATTAAAGTCTTTCTTGGTTTTCTGGGGAAAAACTAGATAAATGGACTTGTTTCTCACCTTACATACAGGGTGGCTTCAGGTTTACTTTCCAGTTGGACCAAGGGATCAGAATTTTCAGGTTTTGTGGTACCAGGAGGAATAAACCAGGACAAGGAAAATTCAGGATCACCTTTACCATCTGTGACCTTGACCAGTGCAGGCCAAGTGTCACTAGAGATCTCAAAACCTGGAAGAGAAAAAGAAAGAAAAACATGCTTGAAGGAGCATTTTACTGAAAATGTGTGGGGCTGCAGAAATTCCGAGCTAAAACATTTCTGAAATAAGTCAGCGCTTTATGAAATTTTATAGTCTTTAAATATTTTTTTCAAATTCAATACATTTTTTAATAAGAAAAATGACTCCATGCTATATCAAGTATTTCTTTAATATGGACAATAAAACAGTACAAATGTGTTTAAGTTACAAATTTTAGATTTGAGCTCCCCTTTTTCTTCTTTCTTTCAGTTTTGAATAAAAATCAAACAACTCTTCTTATGGAGAACCAGTTGTACCTGTTTTATATACTTTTATATATAATATATATATATAATAAGACCTTGTCTTCCTTTACTTTGCTTACCTCGTACTTACAAGTGGTACCAGGAAATAATCAGTTTTAGTTTTTGTAAACCTACACATCAGTCAGTAACTAGTGAATTAATTTGATTTGTATAGCTGTGGTCCTCTTATGGCCCATTTGAAACAAGTAATCTCTCGGATTACTGTGTTTGAAAAGAGACAAAATACATCAACATTACAAAACAAACTACACCACACACTTGCACTTTCAGTTCCTCGTATACCTGCTTCAGTTTGCTTCTTGGCATAATCCTTCAGCCGTGAATTTGCAGCGAGGACATCACTGGACCGGGAGCTGTCAATCTTGGTAGTAATCCAGGTGGAAGCGTCATATAAGCGCACCTCAAAGTCCTGCACGCAAAAGAAGCACAAATGTTAAAGAACCATTATAAAGAAGATGACACAAATTCTGTATCTGAATTGTTCCAAAAACTTACCGGGTAGGTCTCGAGTACTTTGTAGTGGGGACACTTTCCCGCACAAAAGTCCTGTCCTGTGCAGACTGAAACCAGAAAAAGTGCGAAGAGTGCAAACATTACCTGTGCCATGATCACAGACTCTTGATGAACTGAGCTCTGGACTAAGTCCTCCTGTTTAATAAGATAATCACAGTGTCACGTCTAATGTTATGCGGCACACCCACATAGTTCTTCAACCTGCAAGGCAGGCCAGTTTGTCTTTTTACATGCATTACGGTGAACGTGCTCCTCTGACTGGCCACCATGTCATGGCGTGTGTGGGAGTGATTGTCCTTATCTTGGACAACATCCGTCTCACTAACACCACCTTAAGCCAGTCCAGCTCAATCCCCACACCATTACTGGCCATGCGGATCAGTTTATTGAATCTGTTGGATCTGCGACCCTCAACCTGCTGCCCCAGCATGCAACATGCAAGAGAATAGAGGATGGCACTGGCCACCTGTGACAAGTGTCCAGAAGTATTGACTTTATGCACATTATGTACATTATTCTCTCTATATATGTATTAGCTATGATTTGCTATTGTCAAAGTAACATTGCTTCACTTACTATCCTGGGTTTGTTTGTGTAAGCATTCTGTTGCCAGCAGACAAACATTCAGCAAGTTAAAGCAAATGCTCAGTTATATGTTGCTTTATATTTTATTATGTTGCAGAATTAAGTCATTTGTGCATACTTACAGTGTGGGATGTGTGTAGCTCAACAATGGATAATAGTGCAGGAGAGGGTACGGCCATGCAGCGTTTAAAGCATGGAAGTACTGACATTACTTTCAGTTTCATTACGTAAAAAGTGACAAAAACATTAGTGCGGGCTGTGTCTGTGAAGGTTCTCAGTTATCCAGGTCATCGTAGTCTAAGGAGTTTAGAAAGAAAAGCGTCTGGACTTCTTTCAGTTGCTTGAAGACGTTTCACCTCTCATCCGAGAAGCTTCTTCAGTTCTAGGGTCAAATGGTGGAGAGTCCAAGATGTAAGCCCTGTGGGAGTGTCCCCCCAAGGGGGACAATGGACCCCTAATGATCCTCTACCTAATCACACAAGCCAAGGTGTGAAAACAGGTGTAGGTCACTATCAGCCAAGGTTTCGGCTCATTGTGAAACCTAGCCCCTATCATGTGATTTCCTGAGGTCAGATGGCCCAGGATGTGAGTGGGCGTTAGGGCGTCTGGTAAGGGATCTCAGAACTGGATTATAGATGGCAGACAGTTGGTGTCGTAAACCACCGCCTCTGTTCAAAGATGGTCGTTCACAGTGGACATAGATGGCTTTTTTCACTCCTCTTTCAAACCTGTCTTCTCTGTCCAAAATGTGAACATTGGCATCCTCGAAAGAGTGACCTTTGTCCTTTAGATGCAGATGGACAGCTGAGTCTTGTCCCGTGCAGGTGGCTCTTCTGTTGTACAGTGTGCGCTGTACACTCTGCGTGGGAAGAAAACTTCTTTCTACAGCGAAAAAACTTCAAATCTGAGTGAACACCTAGCACGCTGCCACGGGAATGTGAAACCGCTGAATCTTTAATTTTATTTATTTATTGCAGTTTTATATGCTGAAATATGCAGAAAATAGATTTAAATGTTAAACACATTTCTTCAAGTCAAAGACTGTTGCATGTAATTTAATTTTTGCTTAATGCAATGTGCATAAAGTCAAAAGATTAAAACTAATAAAACAATTTTTAAAAAGAGACTTTTTCATTTGATTCAATTTTATGTGATGGATTATGCAGAAAAAAAATAGAACTGGGCTGAAAGGTCTATCAGTTTATAACGTATTGAAGTTGTGAAACATGTTTTTTAAAGTAACTAAGAAATAAAGTAACTAATTACTTTTGAAAATAAGCAATCAGTAAAGTAACGGGATTACATTCTTGGAGAAGTAATTAGTAGTTAGGTAGTAATTACTTTTTTCAAGTAACTTGACCAACACTGCTGTCCACAACAGACTCATAGAAAATCCTGAGCATTGTCCGACAGATGCTAAAAAAACTCAGCTGCCTCAGAAAATAGAGACGACCGTGGCCCTTTCTGTAGAGTGCAGTGGTGTTTTTAACCCAGTCCAGTTTATTGTCTCTGTGTATTTCAAGGTATTTATAGTCCTCCACAATGTCCGCATTGACCCCTTTGGATTGAAACAAGGGTCACAGGTTTCCTGGTTCTCACTCAATTCAAAAGTCCACAAATACTTTTTTGGTTTTTGTAATGTTGAGCCTCATCACTCGTCGTATCCAACCATAGTTATCAGAAAACCTCTGAAGATGGTAGGTCTTTGTGCAGTGGCTGAAGTCTGTGGTGTACAGGGTGAAAGGAAAAGGCGACAGGATGGTCCCTTGGGGTTCCCCTGTGTTGCTGATCACCTTGTCAGACACTCGGTGTTGGAGATCCACAGACTGTGGTCTTCTTGTCAGCTAATCACCAATCCAGGATACAAGAGAGGCATCCACCTGCATCGCTGTCAGCTTATCACCGAGGAGGTGATCCCCTTTGCCTGATGGTATTAAATGTCAAAAAGCCTGACCTTCACAGTGCTCGCTGGCTGGTCCAGATGGGCGATTGAACAGATGGCGCCCCAAGCTCAAAGAGGGGCCTGGTAAGCAAAATGAAGGGGAACCTAATGTGGCCTGAACATAGGTTGGAGCTGGTCAACAATGAGTTTTTCCAGTGTCTTCATGACATGGGAAGCCTGTGCTAAAGGTCTGTAATCCTGGGGGCCACTGGGACGTGGTGTGTTTGGTACAGGAACAAGGAATGACCCTCTGCAGACTCAGACTCATCGGTTTATAAAAGTCTTCACAAAGCTGGGGGGAGCAGGCCTTGAGTAGAATGGGAGGCAGAGCCTTCAGTTTTCAGGCCCCTCTTCTGTGGAACCAGCTTCCAGTTTGGATT